TACTGTGCGACAAGAAGGTCTCCATCAAACTGAAGGGGAAGGTGTATAAACGATAAGAAGATCGGTACTTCTGTACGGAGGGGAATAGTTGGCTACCCTGAAAAGACGCGAACAATAGCTGAACTCGGTAGAAAGACGAATGCTCAGATAGATGTGTTGCGTCAGCAGAATGAATCACATCCAAGCAGCTTCACAAGAAGCACTCTAGGATAGCACTAATTTCAGAAAAGCTTATCGAAAGCAGGCTTTGTTGGTTGGTTCACTTGAAAAGAAGACCCATCGAGTGCGTTGGCAATACGTTCAAGGCATTGATACTGCCAGGGTAGAAATCAGAAGAAGATGATTAAAGAGAAGATGGTTAAAGAACGATATGAAACTGCATGGAGTCATCAAAGTTTTAATTAAATTTAGAAAAATGTGGAGGTAGTTAACTCTACTAGTGAACCTCCTGCTGAAGGAAACATGTTAGATAAAAAAGGAAGAAGAAGATTCTTGCCATAATATTGTTTACCCATTTATAACTCGTGAGCACGAATGGAAGATCACATGATGCTATCATTTTCTATAATGATATCTCGAAAATTTCATAAGATAGTACCCCCTAAGCGACTCTGATTATCCAGACCTATGGAATTTTGGTAACAACATTTCCTTGTGTCCTAATGTCCCCATGTACTTAATCTTGTAAAGGAAGGGTAACGTTTGCAGCAATGTCTAATAGCCTGTTACCGTACATGCAGTTCACCCGTTGTAGTAAACCCAGAATAACACCCATTCTACATATATCAAAACACCATATCAGAAATTCATATTGGCTGGTTCTGCGTTTCTGAAGAAACCAGCATTACTCCTTGTAGGGAAGGGAGATTGCTTCATACTTCACCAAGCATTCAACCAGAATAAATACGGACGGTGAAGTTGCGCAACATCATTGTGTTCGGTTTGTCCTCAGGTTATACCTTTATTAAAGAAATATTTTTAAGGTGCAAAAAGAGTTTTAATTTCATCTTCATTATTACGTCATAAGTCAACCATTCAGTGTTTGTGACAGACATTAATGGCCATTATGGCTACCAATGGGAACAATTTTTACTGTCTTTAACCACTGACTGCGATTATTGATTTCGATCAACGGATGTTACCCTTCATTTTATATCGAATTTACTTCATTGAGCAATTATGGACTTGATTGCAAAATTACTCTTGTTACTCAACTACTGTCAGCACAATGACAAACATCATCGCGTAAGAGTGATTATGAAATAGTTGGAAAAGTCAACAGTACTACACTGTACAGTCAGCGGTTGACATCATATAGCACAACGATTGTTCAATTTGCTCAGTTTCTTGTCACCCTTCGTGGAGGTTAAAGAGGAATGCTGTACAGCCATAAGCAAAAGGATTCGTTCGGAGAGAGGGCACAATGTGGTATCTAGGTTGCTAAGTAGTCGACCACTTTATGACACAACCGTAAGTATGAATGAACTATCACTTTGACCTGCTTAAATGGTACCCTAGGAGACTAGAAACAAGGGGACGGTGCTATTACGCCGCATCAATCCGGTATCAAAAGAAAAAAGGACTAACTACCACTCTTGCGACTCCCGTAAGCTAAAAATGACCGAAAGAGCGCGTTAAATGGAACCGGTGTCAAGCGCTTCAGATCGACTGAAAATTCGGTTCCTCTTGGCCCATGAATCGTCATCGTTCAGATGGTAGGCATTACGCTGAACACATCTGATGATGCGGCTACAATCTTTTAATCACAATTTTCAACCGTAGTGTCCTTCTGGTAGACACAATAGGTTAACCATCGATATCATACATTCATTGTGGTAGTCAGCCTAATCTGGCTGGAAAGTATTTTGCTGACAGCAGAGAGTACCTTCGTAATCTATTTTAGAAAAGGACAGATGACGGTTCACAATCCTTCCACTGGATTGATTTAACATGGCCTCTGGGCGACATCTCATGATTGCGTTCTTTAGTTTCATTATTTCTCCTCGCATACGCCAATAAACCACTTCTATAAAATTTGTGGCAAGAATTTCACATGCCGTTTAAACATTTCAAGTTAACCTACCACTGTGGAAACAACTAAAAAATGAAAATTTCAGGGTGAATACCCTGTGGGATGCGAAAGGTTAATTTCAGCAGTGAAAACCCTGGATCATGGCAAAAAATTTGATGCTGGGCAGAGTAGGCAAACACCCAACGATCACCGATGGAATATCTGAGACGATGTGATG